ATTTCATCATCTTGTATTAAAAGTAGTTCTCGTTCTATTTTAATATGTGAAAGTTGATGTCAGAAAACTTCTTCTAATGCAAAGGACTTTCGAGTTTTACCTGGGTCATCAGAATAGATGATTTGAAACATGTTTTATCAAATAATCAAAAATATAGCGTCAAATTGACAATATTTTTGTTATACTAGTATTACTATTCTCAATTAAAATTCAATGGGCTGTGGTGGCCTCGTTTCCCATTGCCCCTTGAGCCTAACTTCCACGGTGGTACGCATAAGACGAAGTCTAAACCTATTCTATCAACACACCGAAGTGGGCGATCGTGATTCTCGCGGCTTGCCAGGAAAAAGGCTCAGTTGTGAACATGCATGTACGCAAGTGCGTCATATGTGCTGTTTTTAGACATTATAAATATTTTAAAAAAAATACACCAAAGTCAATAAAAAACTGTATGAAATGGTTTTTGGTATACAGGGTGTTCGGCTACTCGTGTTACAAATTTTGCCAGTAGATTCTAAATTCAAAATGGAACCAAAAAGCCCTAATTCACTAAGGTCCGAATCTCAACAGTTTCGGAGTTATTCCCTTTTTTCTGATTTTTTAACATTTCACGATCATGCTTCAAATAAACCATGATAACTCAAAACTAAAAGGTTTTGGACAAATCCGCTGATAATTGAAAAGTACGTTAAATTTCCAATAAGATTTGATTAATACTAAACTTGTAAACGTTGGTGAAATAATTGTTTTAGTAGCCAGAACATTGAAAAATAATTCTTTTTTCACTGTTGAAAAATTTAGCATGTTTTTACTAAACTACTATTTCCAAACCTAGAGCTCAGCAAATTTCAGAAAACGTACTCCATTTAATATCTTTTTAATGGTGTAATTTTTTTTAAAACTTTTTTCAAAGATGAAGAAATTCATGGAGGAGAGGAAAAAACCGTGGTTGACGGATTGGTGAAGTGGAAAGATTAATAATAAATAAATTTTATGAAATTTGGAATGAATGAACTAAAAATTTTTGACTCTTAAAACTCTTTTATTCCGGAGAATCATAATACAATGATCTTTTAATCAAAATTGCAGTCGTGTTGGTAAATAAGTAAACAATTGCACTATTTCGGTTTCGAACCCAAATTAAAAAAAAGTTTAAAAAATTCATACAAAATTTCCTTAAGATTTTCATTTTTTTAAATCTTTCCTCGTTACCAATCCGTCAACCACGGTTTTTACGTTTCTTTCATCAATTTATTCATCTTTGAAAAAAATAATTGAAAAAGTAATTACACCACTTAAAAGGATATTAAATAGAGTTTTCTGAAATTTGCTGGTCTCTAAGTTTGGAAATAGTAGTTTCAAATCACCATAGTAAGTTTTTCAACATTTAAAAAAGAATTATTTTTCAACGTTCTGGCTCCTAAAACGATTATTTCACCAAGGTTTACAAATTTAGTATTAATCAAATCTTATTGGAAATTTAACGTACTTTTCAATTATCAGCGGATTTGTCCAAAACCTTTTAGTTTTGAGTTATCATGGTTTATTTGAAGCATGATCGTGAAATGTTAAAAAATCAGAAAAAGTGGAATAACTCCGAAACTGGTGAGATTCGGACTATAGTTAATTAGGACCTTCTGGTTCCATTTTGAATTTAGAATCTACTGGCAAAGTATGTTACACAAGTAACCTAACACCCTGTATATATATCACGACTTCATTTAAGCATTTACTTTTATTTGATTGATTGATGAATATTAAAATATAAAGGAGAGAAAAGTATTTCAAATCTGACTTTAATTATTTGTGTATTCATATCCTAGGTCTAAAAATTTTTAAAATGTGTATTTATTTACTGTTAATGCAAATTAAATAACCACTCTGCCTAAGAGACGTTTTAAAAAGAAAGTATTTTTATTGTGAAAGATTACAACGGGGGAACCGACACTATAACGGACATAACACGCAACAGAGTGAGCCCTTTTCCTAGTAGATAAAAGCGGTTTTATACATATTTATCTGATTTGACTAATTGGCCTAAGGGCTGATGTGTTTGGTTACGATGATAAGAAGGGCGCTTTTTAGTCTCGGTCCCCTAGGCCAATTGGTTTCTAGATATCAGACACCTCTACAAATGCGATGGTCGTACAATAAATACGTTTTTATGTCATATTCTCGGTTTAATCTTTCTTTACAATTAATATATTCTTAATTTAAATATTTGGGTCAAACAATGATAAATAATTAATTTCGACATGAGCCATCCGAAGGATCTGTCTTACGTAATTATTTTTTTTATAACATCGCGTCCTATATGTATTTTAATTTAATGTAAATAGTGACATATTTACCCTTAAATGATAAAATAAATTAAACATATTCATTTGTTATAAAGCATAACAATATCTTTTTAAAAACGGTCAAATGGTAATATTGAAAATAACACGTGCGATGGACCTACAAAGAATACATTTTCCTGTCGTCTCTCGGTCTAATTTGTCTTGATCGTTAGTACACTTAATTTAATATTTTTTTACTTAATTAATTACATATTGATTTTTAAAAAGAAAATAAATAAGAACAAAACAGATAAGCACAGACATAATGGTTATCCGAAGGATCTGTATAGTATTGGTTCTTGCATATATTTGACATACTTATCCTCAACTAATAAAATAAAATATAAATAGATTTAGAAGCGAATTTAAAAAAAAAATTCATGTTGTAAAATTGATAACAGGAGCCCTCCCTAGTCCCACAAAGAATAAAATTTTTTGTCGTCTTCTCCGGCTAAATTTTGTTGGCAGTTAATGCATACTTTATTTACACGTGAGGGGAAGCAATAAAATAAATAATAAATAATCTGTCTTACTTGGATATTTTTTTGTATAATATTGCTTTTTACATGGATTTTAATTTATTGTATTTGACACATTTATCCTCAGGTAGTAAAATAAAATAAAAATAGGTAAAAAAAGGTCATTCTGTAAAATTGATAACAGGTGCCCTAGTCCCACAAAAAATAATTTTTTTACCGTCTTCTCGCTTTAATTTTTGTTGGCAGTTAATGCATACTATATTTACACGTTAGGGCAAGCAATGAAATAAATAATAAATCTGTCTTACTTGGATCTTTTTTTGTATAATATTGCTTCTTACATGTATTTTAATTTATTGTATTTGACACATTTATCCTCAGGTAGTAAAATAAAATAAAAATAGGTAATAAAGGTCATCCTGTAAAATTGATAACAGGTGCCCTAGTCCCACAAAAAATAATTTTTTTGCCGTATTCTCGCTTTAATTTTTTTTGGCAGTTAATGTATACTATATTTACAAGTTAGGGCAAGCAATAACATAAACAATAAAACTAAAAATAACTAAAAATAAAATAGATAAGCCTAGACATAAAGGTCATCCGTAGGATCTGTCTTACGTGGGTCTTTTCTGTATAACATTGCTTCATACATGTACTTTTTGTCATTTTGTAAAATTGATAACAGATGCCCGTATTCGTACAAAAAATATTTTTTTGTCTTCTCGGTCTAATGTTTGTTGGCGATAAGCTTATTTACAATTGGGGCAAGCAATAAATATATAATAATTTTTAAAATAAATAATAAAAGTAAAGGGCAAAGCATAATAACAAGATAAGTACAGAAATAATGGTCATCAGAAGGATCTGTCTCATATGGATCTTTTATGTATAGTATTGCTTCTGACATGTATTTTAATTTATTGTATTGACACATTTGTCCTCAAGTAATAACATAAGATATAAATAGGTTTAATAAAAATTTTTTTATGAAATTGATAAAAGATGTCCTCGTCCTACAAAGTATCAATTTTTTTGTCGTCTTCTCGGTCTAATTTTTCTTGACGGTTAACGCTTTATTTAAAAATTTCGGTCAAGCAATAAAGATACATAAATAATTATATATCAACATATATAAAGAAAGATAAGTAAGAACAAAACTGATAAGCACAGACATGAAACTTATCCGAAGGATCTGCTTTATTTTGATCGATGTACAATACTTTTTTACATACATAATACTTAATTGACCCATTTACCCTCCAGATCTATATATATACATATTTTTTTTTTTAACTTTAAAGTCTTTCTTTTCATGAATGATACATAATATGAAATAACACATTATCTAATAGGTTAAAGACATCACCATGGTTTTACACCATTAGGGGACTTAGATAATAAAAATATAAATAAGCGTAGAAAGGAATGTCTTCTTCTTGACAAAAAAGGTCATTTTGTAAAATTGATAACAGGTGCCCTATTCCGACAAAGAATACATTCTGTCGTCTTCTTGGTCTAATTTTTGTTGACAGTTCATCTTCCTGTATAATATCGTTTCTTTGTACATAATTAACATATTTGCCAAGTGAGATAAAATACAAACAATATGAAGGAATGAATTTTAAAATAATGCCTTACAGTAAGAAGGGTAAGAGCAGACACGAAGTTAGTAATCTCAAAGGACTTTTTTGTCGTCTTCTTTGTCTAATGTTCGTTGACATTAATGTATGAATCTGTGTTCATGTATGTGAAAACTCTCTCGCGGAATGATCAATCCAAAGAAGTGTAAGTTTTTTTTGTTATTATTTAAAGGGATATCCTTGATTAAGCATGTGGTATATTGCTGGTATAGCACTTTGATTTTTAATTTTAGTTTGTTTTCTGCTTTTATATTTGCTTACTTTCGATATTTTTTCTCTAAAAAAAATATTACTTTGGCAAGTAAAGCGTTTCTGTTTCCTATGTTTGTATTTTAAGTTAAATTTTTTTTTGTGCGTGTGCAATGTCCCCTGGAATCTGCTTTTTTCATACATTTTTTGTATTTCTATTCATTTATATATGTAACCTAATTAGTAAGTGGCAAACGAGATAATATTGCTTTATATTTCGTTTAAAAAAAAATATAATTTAGCCTTTTTATGGCAATTACATCAAATTTAATTTAAATTAAATTTGTACTTACGGAGATTGTTGTTTCCCTTGGATTAAAATAGTAGAAATAATTCCAGAGGACGGAGTTTCAGTCGGTGAATGTGAACGTGAAAGAGCCTCCGGCGGTCACACGGCACTGAATGAGACTAACCGGTTCGCGCGGGGTGGATCGGGACGGGCCACGCCCCCTCGGTCCCTGCCGTTGGATTGGCCGTGCCCGGGCCAATCACGGCCTGCCAATTAGGTGACGTCATAATCACCCCCACCCACTGGCCCGAATTACAGTATTGATTAATTACGATGTAATTTGGTGGCTAATGTCCGCCGGCCACGCCCACTCCTCTAATACCACCCCCGCTCCTTCATCGCTACCAAACCCCCCCCCCCCCCCCCCCCCCCCCCCCCCCCCCCCCCCCCCCCCCCCCCCCCCCCCCCCCCCCCCCCCCCCCCCCCCCCCCCCCCCCCCCCCACCCGCAGCACTGTACGAAGTACGTCAACCCTTGTACGATAAAATACCGACGGACCTGCCCCTTAAGTGACAATTAAATAGACTTGGGCTCAGTAAAACCCCCTCCGCCAACCGCCCATTCTGGCTATTTAGCATTGTTGACGGCAGTTTAATCGAAATCATCACTGCTACTCCATCCTCGCTTGTAAATGAGAAGTTTTTAAATTATTTGGTGTGTGCGGTATAATAAATAATAAATCCTATTAATGCACGTTATTCTCTTTAAGTCCATACTTTCATGAAAGCAATTCTTTAAAAATTAATGCTAAGGTTTTGTTTGTTTTATTTTTATTTAACATATTTTCTAACAATAAGTAATTTGCGTACATATGTATTTTTGAGGGAAAGTGGCGGGCCCCTATGCGTCCTCTTTAGCATATCTCCATTTGTGTACCATACCTCCTGAAAAACATTATTGTTGATGGTGATGGGAAAATGTTCACGAAAACCCCATTTACCATTACTTTAACAAATCCTTTGCATTAACAAAATCATTACGGTATTGTTCAGAAACTGGGAAAACTACTTATTAATTTTACCAAGAACTAACAGTTATATGTTAGCAAAAAAGATATTAATTTAATAAGTTGGTCCAATATAGTATATACAGAGAAATATTTAGTTTAAACTAAATAAGTTTGTTTAAATAATTAAATAAACAAGTTAGTTTAACAAATTAGTAATAAATTGACAATTTAACAAATTAACAGTATAATAAATTAACAAATCAGTGAGTTAGTGGATAAATATTTGTATAAGTTATTAAGTAACAGATAGTTAAATAAGAGAGAAAGTTGGAGAATAAGAATTTTAGACAAAACAAGGCAACACAGTGAGAAGATTCAGGAGGATAAAATATGTTTTATTCTCCTGTGCTTCCAAGATCTTAGACAATCGTATGTGCTTCAATCGGCAGTTTTCGCTGTAGACTTTTTGAAATAGAAATTTTAAAGAATTAAATCCTGCCGTTACTTCATCAACTACTTTCGCTAGGAGGGAAGTGCTAAGGCTTAATTTATTAGTTAAACTACTCGATGAATCAGCTTCCAACTTATCGTACGTTTACATTAGCAATTTACTTATAAGAAATGTTTTTAGATAATTAAATTTTACTAGTATTGTTAAGTAATTGAGCATGCACGGTCACAGGAGAAAAGGCAAAAATAAATGGGTAATTTACAATTCACTTAGAGAACGTATTAGGTTATTAAAAGCTAGTTTTTTTATTGTATATAAATTTTTGTAGTGTGGTCGCCTGTGGAAATTTTTATACGTAAAGCGAATGATTGGTAGAGGGGAGAGAGAGAGCGAGANAGAGAGAGAGAGAGAGAGAGAGAGAGAGAGAGAGAGAGAGAGAGAGAAAGAGAGAGTGAGAGAGCTTGGAAAATATAATAAATTAAAAATATTATAATCATAAATGCAATAATTAACCCAACATTTGATAAATAGATATATAGAAAGAGGTGAAAAAAAGAAAGAGAATAGTGGCGAGTGAGGTAGAGGGAGAGAGTTGTGCGATTTAAAATACATAACAAATAAATAATTACAATTATATATCTTCCGCAATGGGAGATACAGTGTAGATAAATAGACAGTTCCTCACTGAAGATGGCGTAAAGCCGAAATGCGTTTGAGTAAGTTCATAACCCGCGAGTTTAGGCGGACCCAATAAGTAGCCCAGTGCCACCAACCAAGTAATACCATTTGTACTATTATTACTCACTTACATTTTTCATTTCCCACCTCACTCTGTTTATTTCTTACAATTTCTTCCTGTACCAAACTTCCAGTAGTATTTCATCTATTTGTTTATAGGTTTGTCTGCTTCTTTTTATCTTTTGATTTCTCAATATATATGTTTATATATCTGTCTACCAATATATCTATCTATCTGTATATGTACATCTGTTTGTCTACCAGTCCTTTCTTAGTTTAGTTGCTTTAGCCTCTTCTTCCACCTTATATTGTTGAATTCTATCCATTAATTTGTATACTCATAAACCTAAAAATCAATCCACCTGTGTACAAGATCGTAAAATCTATCTTTTTCTGTTTACTTCTTTTACACGTGGTCAAAGTTCTTCCTGTCTTTTGTGCACAGTTCTGCTTAAAAGGTTGTTCCGCAGTACAATAAAATTATATACATTTATCTAATTCAATTAATCCGTTATGATAATATTACCATTTATCGGTTCGTGTGCACCGTTTTATCCCTAATAGCCGTGTCTTGTCAATAATGCGTACCTTATGTTTACAGTAAAAGAAAAAAGATATAATAGTAATTTTGCCATTAGCTCATTCGAGAGGGTATCGCATTTACGTTAGGTGTGTCCACATCCTGTACCGACAGATGTACTGGTCGATTAGCTTTGAAAGAAACGGCGAGAAAGCTCGTTAGCCTGTTCTAAAAGCGATCTTAGAACAAAATCGATTCCGTGCACTTCCTCCGCTTTGAAGTGACGGATCCTTTCTTAGTTACAGCTGCGGCACGAGCCTCTTCCACTTGTATCCTTTATTAGGAATAATAGAATAAGTTTACATTTATGGACGTGGGAAAAAGATTTCGAGAATTCACCGAAAGCAGAATAGAACAAATTCTTAACCAGCACGTGAATATTTTTGTTATTTAATTAACACTAAACTAACCTAGCTTTCGTCTTAGATCCCCAAAAATATTGTGTGTTTTTCATGTATTTATTGCTATATCCATAAATTTATTTATCTACTTAAATAGATAGAAAGAGCGCTAGATGGATTTAGCTATCTATTTTTACAATTGCCCCTTCATTTTTCTATTTTTTTCTTTTTCATCCTTTGTGTACTATTTATCTTTCTACGTGTCTATATTTCTAAATGTCTGCTTATGAGTCTGTCTGCATATTGGTTACGAAAGTCTAAAAAACCATTAAAAAAAGAAATATCCTAGCAGTATTCTTGTTGTAAAAACCGATGTCCTACTCCAATTTCCTTTTATTGGCGAAAATTCGAGAATTTGCTGTCCGCTGATCACGATTCTTGTTTTGTTTATACGTCGTTTGTTGACATACAAAATAAAAAATGTTCAGAGGAGAAGGCCGAAAGAGCCTCGAGATGCATCTACTAAAAATAAAACGTTGGAAAAGCTCAAGAAGTTTTTATTATTATATTTTATGATATTTTAACTACGAGGTTATATGAGCCCTCGGGGTGCTGGGTTTTTGAAAAAAAAAATCTGTTAAATTCGGTAAATTACTGAAGAGGAGAGAGGTAGATATATAGATAGATAGATAGATAGATAGATAGATAGATAGATAGAGAGAGAGTGAGTAAGAGAGAGAGAGAGAGAGAGAGAGAGAGAGAGTGAGTGAGAACGTTTTATTTAACCATGCAAAATTTGGCCACATGGACCTTTCTTTTACTTAATGTGAGTTATGTTGCACATTATACATTGTATATAAAATAAATTAACTTTTTTAAATTATTAACTTTTTATGTAAGGTCTTGGTTGAGATGAAAAAGCGAGTGTCACGAGCGGGATTCGAACCCACGACCTTCGGCTGGCTCAACACGCCGTTGCTCTAACCACTTGAGCCAATTCGAATCCCGCTCGTAACTCTAATTTTTCATCACAACCAAAAGCCTTAGATAAAAAGAATAATTAATTGGAATAATTAATATGATCAATTTTGACCGCTAATATGGATTAATTATATATACAATTTAATGCGCAGACTCTTTTGGTTTTTATAATAAAATTAGAAAGGGAGGGAGAGAGAGAGAGAGAGAGAGAGAGAGAGAGAGAGAGAGAGAGAGTGAGTGAGAGAGAGAGTGAGAGAGAGAGAGAGAGAGAGAGAGAGAGAGAGAGAGAGACCTTTACGTATAGTGATGAACACCGCGACAACGCCTTACCGTTGCGGCCACCGACGCCCCTCGACGATTTGCTCTAAGTCGGAGCTAGGCATCGCAATTAAAATTAAAAAAAAAAAAATTACTTAAAGCATTTTCAAATCGGCGCAATTTGTCAGCCGCGGGGCCACCTCAAATCGTCGGCTTTTGGGAAAAGTGAAACAATGGACAATTTAGTGGAATCGGGATTTTGGCCCTGGCCCAAATCGACCCTCCGCGTTCCGCCGTTCTACAAGAAAAATGACGCGGCCCCTTTCTTTTCATTTAGTTACTGAATTTGCCCTGAATTATGTGTAATTCCTCCTCCTCCGAAGGCAGTTTATTTGGTTAAGTATCTGTAGAGAGAGGACACCCGTTTCGACTTGGATATTTATAGTTATTCCTTCCCATTTCGATTTTGTACGCCAAAGAAAATATTTTACTACAACTTTTTTTTGTGGGTAGTTTAATGAAATAAATATTGCGGCGTCGACACTGTTTAAAATTCAACAACTGTTCCGAATGGTGGTTATGGTTTTAACCGAAAGAAACAGGAAATAAGTCAAACAATCTAATTACCTTCATCATACTTCGAAACCTCCCACAAAAAGCTATAGTTTTCTTAACGACAATAAGAAAAGCATATATAATGCCATCCTACGAACCACTCACTATCCTCCCTAATACACTATATTCCGCCGTTATTCTCAGTCTTAATGCTTACAAACCTCCCAACCAATCTATCAGACCCGTTGGT